TGGGCAAGGGTTAGCTGAAACAAAACAAAGCAAGGACCTCTGAAAAGGCCGATGAGAGTGGTGGGGAAAGCAACCTGTTGATCTGTTTTGGAAGATGCACTGAAGAGAAATTGCCCGCATAATTGCACGGCCGAGGGCGAGAACTCGGGGAGGCGGTCGGTCATTGGAGAGAGTTCAACAGTCCTCTCAGGGAATTGGTATTTCGGAAATTCTACCTGCAAAGATATATTCAAAAGTTAAGATATGACCCGAAAAAAAAACAGTTATGCCTTGGTGTAACAAGGGGAAACAGGCAGTACTCACTTCCATTTTGTAAGTTCCAGGCTTTGAGATCATCAGTTCATAAGAGCCTGTCTTATCCGACTCGGCAGAAATTTTGCCATCGAGGAGAATCTGAAGACAAAACAAGCACAAAGTCATACTCAACAAAACAAGATACTGACAGACTTTCCGGTAGCTCATGTAAAAACCGCGTAATGGGAGACAAAACTATCTCAATAGCGATAGGGGAAGAGTAATTCTACAAAACCGCTACGATATAAATTAGTATGGTTAAAATAAAGGAAGAGGGGGTTTTATCAGCTGGCTGAATCCGCTTTAACTACGAACTGGAAGCTCAACAGGGCGAAACCACATAATCTGAAGCTCTTGCTGGATAAAATTGTCAGTTCCACCCGACCCATCGAGATCTGTTTGACCTTATGGACTCGTAAGAACTCTAAACAATGATAAGTTGGTTTGAAGAGAGTTATACAGAAAGGCAGAAACAAAATAAATCATGCAAATACCTTGGCGCCAACGACAGGAACATTAGAGAGGTGAACACGCCCACCGGATAGCTGAAAGGCGGTCACCGAAAAGCCAGGCTCTAGCAGGAGATCGCGGTGTTCCATCTGAGCTCTCAAGAAAGGTGGCTCAATAACGAGACGCTGGGACTTCAATTCTGGCGTAAGGGAAGCCTCGTGATGGGCTACCAAAAAGTACTCCCCACCCGCCAGGCGAGAGAAGGAGAAGACGCCTTCGGAGTCGGTGACGGTCTGCAAATAATGAAAGGGAACAAGCTAAAGTCGTGTGTCATCTACATTTTAGAATAATGCATTTAAGAGGGAGACGGGATGATAGGAGTTAGTGGCGTTTGAGTAAGAGGCTGTATACATGTAATGAAGGCAGAGCGACAGGGATTATTTGAGTTCCATGTGTTGAACACAATATGTCTAGAATTCGTAGTGTAGGAAAGGCGTCGGTCATATCGTTTTGACCCTCTAAATACATAATAAATGGAAAGTTAACTCGAACGGCAGTGACAGAGAAAATGCACTTTAAAATGGCTCAAAGGAGAATGACCATTACGGGTGAACTACTAAAACAGAGAGATTCAAAAACAATTCAAGGTTTAAAAGAGATGCCTTAGCTAACGAGGTCTCGGAAAGAAGGTAATAATTCTTGAGAAAAAACATTGCCACAAAAACATACCAGGCAAACGGGTTTTTGAACTACTTTTGACAAGAGTTCACTGGAAATCGGATACGAGGATTTTTCCGGAACCTTGGAACAACCAAACTTTTCAATATCACTCGTCGTTAAGGTATTGCCCTTGGAGACGTACAAAAGGACGCGGATTTTTGCAATTCCCTTTCCGGCAAATGTCACACTGGAACGTAGAACATGGCCCTGGATAACGCGAGAAGGAAAAGAGGAATGAGAACTACAGGTGTTCGGTTTGAGGCTGCCCTTCCATCAGCAATGACAGAAACACAAAAATATACTGGAATGACAGAAAAAGTGGCAATACCAGATATTACCATAAATGGGGCAAGGCTAACGAGCGCTTAATGCTGACTGAATATACAGAATACCATCCCGTCTGAGCTTCAACTTTACCAGTAAAATATGGGTTTAATATTGGCTCCACATGAAAGTGCAGGGCTTTTCTGAACAGGCGCTTTCTATGAAGCACTTTCTGACACTTACTTTTAATTTCACATGCATACGCTACGAACAGTTATTTGGGAGAAGTTGCTAGAGGTTCAACTTTCGGATCTTTCTTTTGACGTATATTACTTAGTGACTGCATGTGGGGATAGAATTGTCGTGGCGTGCTGTTGACAGGCGTCAGTTCAAATGAAAAGAGGGCAAGAAATAACCGCAAGATGTGAACTGATACAGCAAATGGATAGACATGTCTCTTGCCAGGTAAAATCAAACGCAAAATGTTGACTTCCATCAATACTTCCTAGACAGGTCAGTCAAGTATCTTGACAAAACTTAGATCCCAGATTTCTAACTGCATGTCCGAAAGAAACCTCCACGCCATGTCCCAAGACGACTCGGAAGACTGAGGAATACTGTATGCAATACGGTCATCTAAGTCAG